CTAAAAAGTTAAATTAAAATTATTTCCTCCAGATTAAATTATGACTATTTCCTCGAAATTAGACGATTCCCTTTCGATTTCTACAAAAAATTCCTAATGTACTTATTTGAGAATTTGCCTCTTTCAAACTAGCCAGACCAAAATTTCCCTCCAGAACCACTAACCCCAAGAACATTTCACGAAGCCACTTCTTAGACCTTTAAGCGATGAACTTCGAGCTTCTGAAATATTAATAACCATTCCTGATAACAATTTCATCGTCGTAATAATATCGATCAACATATGGAGGAGCAATTGTCGCGACCATTATTACTTAGCTGCCTATTTAATTTCCTTATCTCTATAATAATCTAATAGATCGTTCGGAAAACGTAACGTGAGCAGGTGATGAGACAGTAAAGCATGAAAGTTCGTCCAGTTTTCTTTCTTACTCACGATGTCCGAGCTAAAAACGATCAGACAAGCGATCAAACCGTTGTTAATAGTGAATTTTATATTTGGAATGGGTATATTCGAGTTTGAAAAGAAGCAACCATCGAAAATGATCGAATACGCGTACACGTTGTTTTGTTTAGTGTTATTCATCTCTGTTAGCAAATTCTCTTTGCCTTTTTACGAGATACTACTTATGTCGCACGCGGTGGAAGCAAGTCGTAAAATGTTCCAAACGATTTTTTTTTTAAATGTATTGCTGATGGGCGCGCTGGTGGTTACCAGTAGGATTACTGCAAAGGTAAGCTCATCAATTTGCCACTTTTTTTTTCAATTTTATTGCAATTAAAATTGAGAAGGTTTGGCTAAATTTTTTCTTTTTCTTATTTAAATTGAATAAAGTTGGCCAATTCTAATGTCGGATTTTTCCGTAAGAGATCGTTTCTGCTGTTTTTAAACCAAAAGGCTATTCGTAATCTATAAAACGCGTGTATAGTCTAAAAGCCGAGATTTTAACGTGCAATTTAAAAAGAAAACATTCGTTATATATATGTTTGGTTAGATTTTTTTTACTACTTATTTTTTTTATCGGTAAGACCAAAATCTTCAGCACGAAGCTTTTTTGAACAACTTATGAACACTATCCCCGTGCTCATAAGAAATCCTGTTTGCTGATTGTACCGTATTTTCACCTTTAAGAAGATAGAAAAGCTTCAAATCAAAATAAACACTGAAAAAATTTCTATAGACATAAGGAACAGTTTTTTAAATTTCACGTTAAAATCTTAACTTTCAGACCGTACATGCGTTTTGTATGTAGGTTACGAACAGTGTTCTGTTTTAAAAACAGCAAAAACGATCTCTCAAGGAAACATCCAACATCAGAATTGGCCAACTCAGTATTTGCAATCTGTTCAGAATATACAACAAGTAAATTTTATGGCGATAATTTGAATTACGTATAGGGAACTTTACATTAAAATGACATTTTTTTCGTTGAAATATTCCGGATGAACCGCGTAACGTGTCCACCTTTATTCCTTCCATTACCAGTGAATCGATAACAATTTTTCATTTGTTCTTAACCCTTCGTAGGCAAATATATTTTTCACACTCCATAGGCAAACAGTTACAATATTTATGTCCAAGTCTAATTGCTTTACCGTTCCAGGCTTTAAAAAAATGTGAAAAAATTTCGGGCTACTTGTCGAAGTCTCTACTACATTATACAATTGTTCGTTAAGTCATATGTTTAAAACTTGTTTCAATAGTGATAAAAATTCGTTTGAAAGAAATGTAAGGGTGAAATTTTACTTGGGTCATTAACGACCGAGATTGCCTACGAAGGGTTAACCTACAGGGTGAACCGTCTAATGTGATCACCTTAGATCATTTTATTGTTGGTGGACCGATCGAAATTTTTCTTCTGTCACACAACACGGTTCAAAGCGGTCTTTAAGATGATTATAGTACATTTTTTTTTAAGTTTTCGAGATCATCTTCAATTTTTTCTAGATAAGCCTACAATATTTTACTCAGCGAATTCGGCGAACATCGTAAAATATCTTTTTCTTCTTTTGAACTAACGAAACAGTAAAACAAGTATCCTAGTAAAAGAATATCCTAACAATAAGAAAAAAAAGTGCAGATGTTATAGAAAGAACTATAGCAGTTGTTTATTTGCCGTCTACGTGAATGTATCGCAACTGATGGCGCACCATTTTGAACGCACACTGAATTTATGTAAATTTGAAGCTTAAAATTAGAAAACAAAATCACTTTTTCCTGTATATCTATCTTCGCCGTATCATTTCTTCAGACGAAACAAATATTTTTTATCTTACTCGTTAAATTCGTCTCAAAAACCATTAACTCATAGCCAAAAAAGACTGCACGGTTATATTTATGTAAAAGAAAATGAAGGTGACTTTGAAAACTTCGAAGAAAATGGACCGATTTAAACGCCTCTTTGAACGATCTTATGCGATATTTAATTCTCGATTCGAGAGAAATAAGGAGTCGCTGTTTTCTTTTTAGTAACGCAAAGATCGCTGTTTGTATGAAATTTTCTTTAGCTTCAGCTGATATTATTAATAGTCGCTAGATTTGCAGTAAATTTAATTAAACACTGTACACAAAATTGAACGAACATTATTGAATATTTGGAGGGCAAATTTGAGAATGTAAAGGTGTTATTTTAAGAAGAAATACTTCTCTCAGAAAAATAAGAAAAGAAAATCGATCTAAATTTCTTTTGCAGAAAATAGAGAATTGTTACTTTCTTTTGTATCGTGACTTTTTATTATTCTTGCTGTGTTTTCTCGTACAGACATTGGGAAAAGTAATTGTCCTCGTTGAATCATGCGACCAAACGATGGAGAACATAGGTTTGCCCAAAGGATACCGCAGTTTGTTCCTGCACCAGGTCCGTGAATTTGGGATTTGTGGATTTTTCATCACACTAGTTGCCTTGGAATTTTTCTATTGGAACTTAACAGAATCGATGATACTCTTCTCATCGATTCTCGCACTTATGTCGCATGCTCCATTGATGCTAATCACCGTCTGCGACGTCTCCTTCTGCTTCTGGGTCAAGTATGAAGCTACAAATTATAAAATAAAGAGACATAATTCATTACGTAGAATAAATCATCTGTGTGATTGTTTGACAGAAAATGTTGTTCATACAAGTTCTAACTTCGTTGAACTTCATATCGAGTTCTTTAAATTCAATGTTTTTCATAATAAATATTTATTCTTTCTCGTGAAAAATATTCAGGGTGTCCCGCAATTGGTGATACAAACGAGCACAGGGTGATTCTACGTGAAAACCTGAATCAAAAATGTGGAATGAAATTTTTTCATAAGAAGCTTTGTTTTCGAGAAAAATAAGTTTGAAAATTTGTCGAGTACGTGTGCTCTCGGCTTTACGTTTGCACCAATAAACGATACTAATTTCATGACAAAGTATCGATAATGCATTTATCAACGATTTCCTTAATTCAAATTTACATTGCTAATCGAATTATTGAAAGTAACGTCTGCTAACACGTACAAATCTTTGCTCTTTAAATCGGAGAGTTATGGACCGGTGATACGATATTTTGACACTTCAATTCTGTTTATCAACGTAAAAGTATGAGCAGAAGTAACAGTTTGTAACGAATATTTAAATTCAATTTTCTCGGAAACAAAGCCTTGTATGAGCAAATTTTATTCTACATTTTCGATTCAGTTTTTCACGTAGAATCATCCCCTGTTCGCTTGTACCACCAGTTACCAAACACCCTGTATAGGAATTTATAAAAGAAAAAAAAAAGAATATCAATTACGTAGAACATGGGATAGAATAAATTAACGGTCTGCGTGATGTTCTGATCATTTGTGACAATGTGCCGAGAGAAGTTCAAACAAGCATTTTACAAACCTCGCATTGACTTCTTTAAATGGCGCAGTATTTAATTTTCTTCTTAATATCGTCAACATTATGCTTTCTTTTCCTCACACCGTTAAATTTACATTAGTTAAACCCCAGCTTTACTCGGTTGTCGTGGTACATACTCGGTTAATCCTGAAGTAAACCACCAAACTATGAGCATGATCTTTTCCTGGTGTAAACTAGATTTGAATCGAGGAGATTCGTTTGCATCTTTCTTTTTCTTAGAGATTCGGACTTTTATGTATGCGGAATTAGTGCTCTTGTAATACGTTGGCAATAGTGTATCGAACATTGTGGAAATTATTTGAAATAAAAATGTTCAATTTCAATGTAGTTACGTTTACTCGAAGTGAACGACTCAACACCTCGGGAATTTTCAAGATAATCTAATACGTTCTTAACATTTGACAATTCTCAGATCTATAAGTAAAAACTGCAGCTAAAATTGACATTAATCTTTGTTACTGATTTAAATATTTTAGTCGCACCTTGATCATAGTCTACAACACGAGTCTGACTCGTTATTATAAGTGAAAGGATTAAAAACGATGTTTATCAAGTTTCAACGGAATGATATTAAATTTAGATAAGTTCACTCCGATAATTTTGTTCGTTATATCGTATTATCATAAATGACTAGAAATTCCTGCAAACCGTTAAACGTGGATCGATCAATTTCGACTAGCTTTTAATTCTTCTATAAAACAGCAGATACTTGAAGCTGAAATTTCACCAATTGAACCAACTGCTTCACGGTATGCTGACAACGTCACCGGACTCACCGCAACACAAGAGGGTCCTAGAGATGCGGTATGATTCCGAGAATAAGAAATTTACGTCGTTCAGGAACCATCACGTTCGAGGAAGCAACGCGAACGCAAACACGATGAGAGCAGTAAAGTGAGATTCAGCGGTGAGCGGAGAACGACCAAGCGTTTCCGTTCCCTGTATCCTTTCCTGAACAAACTTTGCGATATTTTTAATCCGATAAAATCGTACAAGCAGCGAAAACTGTACTCTGGAGAATATTTTGAGCAAAAAATTTGTGAAGGTTAGAGATCTGTTGCATTAAAGAAAAGAAAAAAACAAATTTCCCCCTCTTGAATTGAACAATATTGTGCAAAGTTTGTCGGAATTACAATAGAGATTACATTCGAGATTTTCAAGACAGAGAAATTTCCCATCGACTTTAAAAAAACGATCGATTAAACTTTATATTAAGACAGCATTCAGTATCTTCCTTTTGATCAAAGGCAAATTCACCTGGAGCTGATCAAGATTGCAAGAACAATGAATGCCGCATACGGGATGCAGATTCTGTTAATGGTGACCGTGTCGTTCATCATCATCACTGGCCTTTTCTACCTGTTCTACAATCTCCTATGGCAAGATTTAAACACCGTAGACTTCATAGGAGCAATGATGCCCACGTGTTGCTGGATCTTCACCTATACGATGAAGATATTCTACGTGAACCACGCGTGTGCCAAAACGAGCGCTGAGGTACACCATTTTCCTCATAACAGTTGCACCACTGAACAATATCAACACTTGTACTTACGGAGTTTGTGAGTTACACGAATAAGTAAATTTGGGCCAAATTTAGAAGAAATGAGTATAAAAAAAACTCAATTCATTTAATTGTTACGGCTTAACCCCTTGTCGTATAACAACGAGTCAGACTCGTGTCACAGATCTTTTGGTCAAGATCTGATAGAAACAGTTATATCAGTTGCAAAAATTTATTTTAATTCCAATTTTCGATTTAATTTATAAAACTGAAAATTGTTAAATTTAATTGCTCTATGATACATTAACTTTTCTTACTTAACACTTTACCGACCGGTAGCCTATTAACCGGCTTTTTTCCGCCAACGCTTACCGACCGGTAGCCTATTAATCACTTTTTTGCCGCCGACGCTTTTCGACTGATAGCCTATTAATCGGTCAAAGTTTGATTTAACATTTCTATAGGTATAAGAAAAAGCGCATATATTCCCGCGCGATAGCCCGGAGTCTAAACAAAGCCGGGTGTCACCGATTTATCTGTGGCCGAGTGAGCGGTCGGAAGTGCGTAGGATGTTCAACTGCTACCGGTCGGTAAAGTGTTAATATGGTACTAAAATATTAAATAGTAACAATAAATAAGCATAAACTTACCTTGCCGGTCCTGGGTGAGATGATAAAATGTTTTCTCTTCGCGTTGGGCCACTTCGAGGTATTGCATGAGTGCGCTTAAAAATATCTAAGAAAACATTAATAATTAATAATCTGTACAAAAACGAATAAAATTTGTACGATTTTTTTAATGCAAACTAATTATATTTTTCGTGCACACTTATGGAATTTATGAGTTAATTTGATCCAATATACATATGTACAGTAGAATTCCGATGATTATCAGTGTCGGATAATCAAATATGTCGGGATTATTCGACTCCTACATCTACCTAAAGCGGTGAAAAGGAGGAAAAAATTTTAAAAACGGCCATATTTAGACGCAAATGCACTGCGACAGGTTGTATTATAAAGCATGCAAAAAATGTCCACGAAATTTCACTTTTCTTCCAAGATGGACGAAATATTAATGGAAAATATAGGAAACTACCCCATCCTTTCCAAGAGCAATAATAAGGAATATAACAAAAAAGAAAAACACTAAATCCGTTAAATTATATATAGGGGGAAAAAAAAGTATGGTACATACAAAATTCTCGAAACACATACATTCGCGATTAGGGCTACGGATTACCAAAATTCTACTGTAGCAAGTAGCTCTGATGATCTTTTGTTATGCTTCTTCTGTTACTCTTTTGTCACGAACGCTATATGCTCTTTTGTTTTCTGTAATACAACCATTATGAGTTCAGTTCGAGTCTTCCAAAGACTGGTGCAACACGTTACTCTTTATATTCGAAACAGCTTCAGAATATAAATTTGATTTTCTACGATGGTGTGCCGACAAACAGTATGTATTTGCAACACCTATTTTCATTTCTAGTAGTACTTGTAAGTCGACAAATAACAAAATTTGTAGTATGGTGAAGATATTTTTTACGATGCGACTAATGTAGAAGAAAATTATGTAACAGAAGCAGAAGTACAGAAGAGACATAGGAATTGAACGTAATAATTCTAGATATTATAAATTAAGGGACAACTCTACATATATTATACCTCGAGGCAAAACCGGCAAGGCAAACGACAATATTTCGTATAATTTCAATGTAATATTAAAATTCTATTGTACAAGTTTAATAAATCGTTACAAATATTAAACCGTAGTAATTAAACGAACTGAGTTTTACTTTTCTGTACTCGTTTCTTGTAAATATATGATATTGGATCAATGTGACCCAAAGTTACTTATTCGTATACTTTACAAACTCCGTACAAGACTTAAGCTCTAAAACGTTGATACGACATCAGTCGACAATTTCTGACTAAGGATGTACGTATAAGCTAAATTGTTGTAAGCTATGCATCATAATAAAAGAACGTAGTCGTTGGCAAAATGGTTTCTCGGTTCAGTACCATGTACTGGGTGTCTGAATAAGTACCGGACGCAACAATTAAAATGATTCATTTTAAACAGGCAGCAAACGCTGGAGACATAATTTGCGAGCTCTACGAGCCATCCACTAGCAGAGAATTTCGAGCAGAGGTAAATATTTCGAACATTAACGAAAAGAAATTGAACAGCAACATCCGTTAGTTTGAAAACAACGAATAATTATTTCAGATCAGAGATTTCACTCTACAATTAATCCAAAATCCACTGATATTCACCGCCTGCGGATTCTTTGATATGGACCACGCCTTTATCCAAGGAGTATATAAATTCTTTCAGAGAACATGTCTCGTGTTAATTTGTATTCTTTTTTCTTTCTTTTTTTTAGATCGTTGGATCAATCACCACGTATCTCGTGATTCTAATCCAAGTGGGAGATATGACGATGCAACGCTCTGCCAACTCTACCACCGATGACCATTTCAATCAGACCATTTCAACACTCGAAGTGGTGAACGTTTAGAATAGAAATTCATTCAAACTTCTATAAACTTTTTCAGCGTGTCTTTCTCGTTAATCTTTTCGATGCGAAAAAGTACAAATGATTTTCTCTGAAATATGAATTGAATTGTACCGTATAAAATGGACAGAATCATTGAAAGAAAGAAGATTCAATTATTTTTTGCTGGAATTTAATGACCAAGGTGCTCAAAGATGCTTGGATGTTCGCCCTAACAATTTTCCGCCAATTAGAACGTGGACAGGGATGATGCCTCAATTACACTACTCCCTGTTACACCCCATGCGATTCCAGATGGAGGCGTTAGCCCGTGAAATTCGGTAATCTTGAAACTCGATAGCTTGTAATTCGGTGGACGGTTAGATAATTTTTGGAACGACCCCTTAACCGGTTCTTAACTCGCGAAAATAGAGGCCAAATAGCTCTTAAAAGACCAAATTGATTTCCTTCTCAGACTTAAAAAAAATGGTTCTCGAAAATGTAAAATAAAAATTCTTGGAAATTCTCTAAATATCAA